TTATATCTGTCAGTTACTGCAAAACGTCTTGAGATTCTTAAATGTTTGATGCATCGTCAGTTTCGAGAACTCTTGAAAGAAATTTATTATTATTCTTGGTAAGACGATGGGCAGGCAATAGCAGGGAAACCAGGTATCCATTGCAATTAGCACGGCGGGTGTCTTTTTCATGAATTTCATCCCCGGGATCTCCAGACCCAGTCGCCTCTTTTAGCGGTGAAATTGAACTTCGGTTATCCGGCTCTGGCCTTAATCTAAAGGATTATTACTTCCACCTATCTCTGTCAGCCTCTCATTACTTTGCCTTTTACTCGCACGTCTGGACATCTGCTCGGATCACCCATGGCACTGCCGATCGATGATCAGACTGCCAGTTTACGTGTGAACCTGGATAAGTTCGCGTGCCTCGTTTGAATATTGATCAGTCGCTCGCTTCGTTTTATTATAATATTCTAGATTGTCTTTCTTTTTTACTGCGAATTGAATTTAGAGTTCTAAACGAGACAAGATTTAATTGCGTGAAAATTTTGTCGAGGAAATAAAAACGCGACGAAGACAAGGAATGGCTGTGGCGAGAAGAAAGTTCGTCGCTTCTCGCACTCTTTCATCGGTAATGGTAGCGTCGTAAATTCGCGCCCAGATACAGCTAAAACAATCACCCGGGATTTACGAGTCTGCTGCCCCTGACGAAAGATAGGAAAGTAGCACAAGAAAAATCTGAAGATTTAGAAATTGAAATTATTGTTCGTAAAATCGAATGATTTATATGAAACTAAAGACAGGAATTCCGTTCATTAATTCGACTGACCAAAGAGATTTCATGACTCTTGGGAACGATCGGTTCGGTTCTTAAAGTTTCATCGACCAAGTTCAGCGAGTCGGCCAGCTGCGAGCTTGAAAAATTTAACTGTTAACTTCAAGAGTTCTTGCAGAACTGAAATATCTTTTTGGTTTTTAATATAAGAAACTCTCAGAAAGTTAGGTGCACTCGAATAAACGGCTCTGCGCTTTTGCACTTTCCTTCCAATTCCTTCTGTTATTTGCATTTCCAATCTGTTTATCCCGTATGAGATATTCGGTACATACGCATCGCGTATGCGCTCACACGTGAAGGAGTCGATAGTAGATCATCTAGATTGCGAAACATCGTTATCTCCCAGCGAGGCGAAAATTCTGTTTCCACGTGACAGAGTCGCGAAATCCCATTTCTTTGGTAAACGTTCGATAATATTCCTGGGAGCTTTCGTCGAAGCCTCTGGTTATAAATATTTTCCGTGAGCGATTACTCGCGAAATCGATGATAAACTTCGACTCGTATGCGATATTCTGAATCTATTTTACACTCGATGTATTGACATCAGCTCGGTAATGATCTCACTTCGTATTTTACAGAAAGAGTACAACTCGATTTTGTATGAAAATCAGTTTACTACTATTATTCAGGATTCGTGAAAGGGCTTCGTTTACACCTATACGAATCTAGTTATCTACAGTTCGTTTGTATTCTATTCACCTTCTTTTTTACCATCGCTACCAATAAAGAGAACTTATCAGGTTTGAAAGTTCAGAATTTATCACCTCCTAGTTTGCGAGAGGATGAAACGCGATTATACAACATTATTCTTATTCATGTTGGAGCAGCTCTCGCATCTTGCTATCAAGCGATAACACGATACTCACGGAGACTAGCGACGGTGAATATGTAACAAGATGTTGTCTGACTATATACAATTTAATCCCATCTACATAAGCAGATGTCCCGTGGAATTAGCATTCAACTCGAAATGTAGCGAACACGGAATTAAATTCGTGTAAATGTAGCTTCAAGTATCAATTTTCAAGTTCCTCGGAGAAATTTTCAATTCAATTCTCCTAATCTTTTTCATGTTATATGTATATGAAATATCTGTCTGTCGATTCTTCCGCAGTTTATATAATTTATATCTTTGAGTGGCGCCTGTCCATCGATTTGGCAATGAAATGTTTGGATATCGTAAAGAACAATTTTGTTCTCATTCCAGTCAAGGTTGCGCTATATAAAGGACCGATCCGTCCATTTATAGGATAATCGAGAATGCTTCAGTAAAAATGCATTGTGCTCGGTATAGTGGTCGATACACGCCACTCGAACGGTTCCTCGGAGCTCGTTGGAAATTCATCGTGCTCGCTAAATTTTCGATGCGATCGGTGAACCGGAGAAACCAAAAATGTTATTTATGCATCCGACCATTAATTTGACCTCATTAGGACACTCGACCAGCTTCCGCTCGAATTTTTTATACGATATCTTGCGCAATCCGTTTCGTACTTTGCATCAATTGTTATCATGCAACCCCTTTAAATCCACGCTTACAGAAAAAGTATTCTATAAATTCGACCGCAAGGAAGTGAGTGAACGATTGGCAAGCAGATTTCACATGCACCATGGGAGCAGAATGCAATTTTAGGAATTCAATCATTCAATCTTCGGAACACTTCGAGTTTTAAACGCAGAAACTCAATTACATTCGCGTGTGCCAGCATACCTTGGCCCGAGGGAAAATGGGAAATAACTAAATTAAGTACGGACTCTGCTATTTCTATAAGAATGCAGCTACGTTAATAATAATTCGTCGTTTAATCAAATGAGATTCCTGAAGTATCTCGTGGGACGAATAATACTTATCTGATTCGAAAAAATTCCGTATCCAAAGGAGGTTGCACCGTTCTCTCGAAAAGTTGAATAAGCGAGTTCTCGCCACCGATAGCCAATCGCGAAGGATCAGAACAGCGTTCTCGCTTTGGAACTCGTCCTTGGTATTCTCGTGCGGGAGTGTCCGTCGACGGTTCTTTGAAGTGGAATTGAAAAGCAGAGACGCCGGGTCCGGCCGCAAATTTAATTTTTCCTTTGACCGACACAGGAGCGGTTCTCCTCCCCAAACAGAATTCAAATGAATTGTTACAAGGGCGTGCAACGCCGAAGGCTGCTGCGAATCGTTCCCATTAGCAGTAATCGATTCTCGCTCGCAAAACTGTTTTATGAAGTGCAATGCATTTTTAATGAATTTTTACAATTTCTTTTATAACCCCGGGTCGGTTCTGTCGTTATATGACGTTCCAATTAGGACGTAGCGTTATCCCCAACGCGACGTGCGATTTTCCGTCCCATTTCGAACATCTCCGATCGATTGAAACAAATGCGGTGGCTGCCAGCAGTCTTCCAATGTGAAATTTCGCTATACTCGCGTCCCAGAAAATGCAATAATTTTATCTCAACGATAGACAAGGAGATATAGTGATTTTATTTTTAAGAACACTGCAAACCCTGAAATTAATCCAGAACTATCCTCTTCAATTTCAGCCGAGAGCACTGTCCCTCACGAACCGTGCGAACCCTCGATAAGGTTCGATTCGTGGTCGATTGGCAGTCGAAACGAGCCGTGAGATAAAATAAGAAACCCTATACGCGTTGTGATCCCGGCCACCACGAAACTTGGGAACAAACTCGAGTAGTAAGCGCCGGAGGCGTAGTTTTCTTGCTCGTTGGGAACTGGGAGAGCGCGTTGGTTGAATGGATCAGAACTCGGTGTGCCGCAGTTAATTCGATGCCGGGGCACCTGGATGAAACTTTTTGCAGGAGCCAATCCTTAGGACAGAGGCTCCTCCTCTGGCAATCCCGGGAAAATTGAGGAGAGATTCGGATCAAACTCGAAGAGGACACGATAGAGATGTAAAAGTAATCTTCCAAGGAGCTAATAAAAGTTGCCACGATTGCGTTCCCCGCGGGACACGATAGGTGACACTCTCCTCTTTCCCACCTCGTTATTTTTCTTTTTTCAAGAAATCCTCCTCAGTTGTTTACTCGAGAGACTACTTTCTCGTCTGTCGATTTCGTTGTAAGTAACAGTCCAGTCGTAATTTCGCTCCGTCTAATTACGTGAAACTCGAGGTGAAAATTTAATGAAACGGGAGATTCGTCGGCTTTTAGCTCGACCGCACTGCTGCGTTAAAGCACGTTAAAGTTATTCACAACGCATAGCATATCTTACTTAATTCTTCTTTTCATATTCCTAATTGCTCTTTGAAGAATTGAATTAAACGTAAATTGTATAATGAAGAAAATCGTCACCGTATAATTAAGATTAAATTCCTCGTTGCGACTGTTGGAAAATTCAATTCATATCGGTCAATATTAACAGAGAGTAATCTCTGGTAAATATCACTCAATTTACAGCGGCAATCTTCGTTGTAGCTGCGAATTATATTATTTAATCTGCGTCCAATTAATATTCCTCAATAGGAATTTGTCCCACGCGTAGACTCCGCCACTTGATATTTCCATGTCTCTTCGTGTAATTTATTTCTCTCGGAATTATTTATCGAAATTATCTTAAAGCAGCGTTCATTATATTAAACTCTTCAACAGACAAATTACTCATCCTATATTTTTAGCACGATAAAACCGTAGGAAATGTTTCAGTTTAATTGTTACCGAGAACAATTATGAAAGCGGTGCACGTTACGAGGTGGGAGATGGGTAGAATATATATTTGAGAAATCGATTTATCGGTAGACGCGATCGAGATGCTTAGGCGACGGAGGAAACGGAGGGGATCAAAGCGAGCCAGTGACAATGGTCCATCTATAGTCAGACATGGCTAGCATCGGCTATAACAGTTTCTATTCTTCCCGAGAACTTCGTGCATCATTTGGAAAATATTCTAGTGAAGCTTCCTTGGCTTTAATAATGCTTTAAAATTATTCACCTGTCGTCATTTTGTTTGTTAATAATATCAAATAAAATTGTGGCAGATATTCTCTAGCATAAGATTTATTTATTAGTATTATATTATATCTTTCACTGCTCGTTCTTTGAGTAATTATTTAAAGATACCTTCAATAAATTGAAATTAATTTACAAGGGAAAAATGCAATTTTCAGGCAACAGACGTTCGAATTTTTTCGTTTCATTTTACTGTTCGTGAAACAGAGGTATACAAAAGTGGAACATTTGGTTGCAGGAGCAAAGTGGCGGCCGCGCTTTTGAACAAACATCTACAGATCAATGGGATTTCCGCTGGTTTGACGACGCTCCCGACCATCGATCAATCGTCCCCGGATCCCCAGCCGGAGGATCCGCCGATCACGAGCAGCAGCAAAATGAGGCGAGAACGAAAAGCTGCCAGAACATTGGGAATCATCATGTCAGCGTTCCTCGCCTGTTGGCTACCATTCTTTCTATGGTAACAATTTTCTCCATCCCACGATTCTCGACTTTCATTCAGACACCACGATACATTGATCTCATTCATTCATCTAATTTAGGATCAGTTTCATTATATTTGTTTTCCATTTTGCTCGATGGAAAAATGTAGTCGACGCAGAATTCGTTACAAAGGCAAAAGCGTAAAGAATTATTGAAGTGAAAAACATAGCCCGTTGTACATGGCAGGAAACACGAGAGGAATGAGCGACCCACAGTACGTTTAAATATTTGATAATATTTATAACGATGCAGAGTTTAATTAACGGTTGAATATGATCATGATTTGTCGGGATGTTCATTGCATAATTTCGTTTGGAAAAAATTCTGGGCCCATTAACTCCGACGCATTCTGTGTTCAATTAAATAATTATTTCATGTTCTATTAAAACGACGTTTGATCGACGAATATGTACGTGGGACGTTTTACAATAAAAATGAACGTATCGATATCGCGTTTTCTACGTTTACAATTACTGTGAAATCCTAAAGTAAAACTTCGACGGTAATAAAACTTCCATCGAAATTCGAATGCCTAGCTAAATTTCCATTGAAGCATAAAAAAAGATTCTACTGGTTCACTGGAATTGCGGTTCGAGTGCCTTTCGATATTGTGGGGCATCCGAAAATTCCTAAGAGCTCGGTAACGCGACCACCGAGGCGCGAATCCGATCGATACAGTCTCGTGGAAAAAGAAGACACAGGCCTGCGACATCAAGTGGTTTGCACAGGATTCCAGGTTAACGTTTCTGCCCCTTCACAGGAAACTGATTTCCTTTCATTAGGAATCTAGTTATTTGGGTCAACACCTTCAAGCTCAATCTGATATCCCATATGAAATAATATTTATTGCTTGACGTCAAACCAGTCAGAATTCTCTGATGAGTTAACGTTAGACTTTTATGTATCAGTGGAAAAGAGGAATTTATTGTATAAATTGTTTTACCTATCTGTTGATATTTTTATATCATATTCTTTACGTCAATTAAATAAATTTTTTACGAAATTGAATCTACAGTCTGGTCATAGTTGATAATTGATGGCGAAAGTGATTGAAGTTAATCCACTGTAAGAATCTGCACGTCTGTCAGGAATAATTTCTGGTCGGCGCATAGCCGGGTACTGGGTTTAGGCACAATTTGCCGTCGCTGCTATGCCGGATATGTCCCAGCAATTCTGACAAATGTATTCTGGCCTGTTATCGCGGGAACGGGGGCGCATACCAGCATCGCCGGATCTGGCTATCCCTTTGTTTATCGAATTTTCATTTGAAAGCGGCATTGTTACGCGCGCGCTTCCGTATTCCCTGTTCTGAAACCCACTCTGCGGCGTACAACGAGAGATAAAAGGGTCGAGGCTCGTTCCTCGAAACGAGCGTAATAGATGTGAATGACTCGATGGAACGAGCGTTTAAAGCTTGATTCATCATTACACGGGCTTCAACGGTTATCGGGCTCCATTACACCATACGGGATCCCTTTTTAACCTACCGATAAACGGTTATACAGTGGACCATGGTCGCTTGTTAAAATCGATTTGCATGTTTACAATACCGTGTGCCCATTCAGTTAAACGTTTCGAGCGTTACGAGTAATTTCGAAAGAATCTTGATTTCGTTTTACTAACTTGATTGAGAGTTTGTTTGAATAGAATCAAGTGAGTTCGATATCCTTAAGTAAGAAAAATCACCCGGATACGAGGGTGGAAGATTACGCGAGTTACCTGAGGAGAGACTCCAGAAACGCGAACAAATTGTCACGGCGCTAATCGCTCGATAAATCAACCGGATCTCATTTAATCGAGGAACACTCAGCAGGAGGTGTAGTATCGAGCGGGTGAAGAAGAAACGACTGGATTAACGTAACGAGAAACACCCAATGGAACGAGAGAAACTTCGACCTCACCGTTTCAATTCTATCCCGTTTTTAGCTCTCTCATATCCGTGTCACATCTTCCAGCCTGAATCATCGTAAATGAAAAGTAATAGTCGGATCGCGGATTTTGAATATAAGTTTTACATGAATTTCCCTTGTCATTGAAACATTGAAATATGTATTCACCTATTGATATTCTGAATGATGAGAGCGAGTAAATCACGTTGCAATTCGATTCGTCGGTAATTGAAACGCTTAGTGCGACTGCAAGTAGAAGTGTAAAAGAAAAATCAGCGAGAGACATAATATTTCATCGTCTTAATGAACGTTTCGCAAAATCGCGTGCACATTAATGGGGATCCTGGCGAAAGCTAATATCCAACTTCCATTCTGTATGCAAGGGGACTAGTCGTGGTACGCGTTCTGAATTTGTTAGCCGAACAAGCGGGTCGCGAAAATTTCCAGCACGATGACCGCGTCTGATCGCTCTTTGCAACCGTTCTCAACAGCTTTTTCGTGCCGAGGGCTTTCGTTTCGGGTATCGATCCCGATTGGCTCGAACCCCGTGCAACACGCTCGTTCCCGGGTTTGTAACGGGTCATCTTAGAATCCGCCGGGTCACGAGGTTAATCCTATCGATAACCGAGCACCGGCTAATCGGCCGTGTACGTGGCACGTACATACGTGAAATTAGTGCAGACTTCACTTTCGTGACTCCAGCGTTCGGCGACACTCGTCGGCATAATTCTGCTTTTCGGCGTCACGATATTCTCGATCAGATGAGAATATCACTTCGTAGCAGCGTTCGTAACGAGAATCGATGTTCCGATAAAATTTTTCGGGTGAACGGCGGAAATCAGCGGCGCCTTAATAGCCTTCGGCGAAAGTTTCACGCGTCTCGCGAAAGGAAATGGCAAAGCTTCTGTTTCCTGGACGGTGAACGATTTCGTTCCCATGAATCGCGATTTCCCGGGCAAACATTCATTTCCCCGGTGTTTTCAGCTGCCTCATCGAATCGGCGGAAGTTACCCAACTGGTTTCTTGTCTTCCGGCCACTTCCCTGCGGGACTATTTTCTTGCCTGACTTTGTTTTAGAGTTTCGCGCCACGTGGCGCAGTTTTCGTTTTAACCGGATGAAATATCGCGTCGCGAAGACCCGTTGTCCTCGACGAAAACTTGCCGCGCATAGATTTTAACTTCACCGCTTCTCGAGGTAGTTCCCCGCCTTGCGAACGGGAATACGTTTGGCAGTTTCGTGTTTGCATTAAAATTAATGACTACCCAGACCGGATCAGTTATGACGAGTAATTGTAGTTCACTTTAATTGCCAACAGCTGGTAGAAACGCTGGCAGAAAGTGGAGCAACGCGTAGAGCTCGAGCGGATTGAGTGAAAAGCTGTTGAATTACCGAAAGGACGAGTTAATAAAGCGAAACGTACACGGTCTGACACCTCGACAAGAGCGCGGAATCGTGGCATTTTCCCGTCGACCCCGTTCCACGGCACCGTTTTCTTTCAAGCCTACCGAGCGCTCCTTCCACCCCCGCGCCCATTCACAAAATAATTCTGACCCGGGCCTTTTGTTTCTCTACCTCGAATTTCTCGGCTCGCGGTTCGGAACGGTGCTCGTTCAATTTTTTTCATATCTCCCTTTTCTCGCAACCTTCGTCGTTGACCTTCGCCGTGCCGAACGATCTTCAGTGAGTCGCCGCGGACACAGTTTCTTCCCTCATTGTCAAAAAGATCCATGCCGAAACACAATGTTCGACTGCACAAATATTTTCATGATTCATTAAAAGATTGTCCAGTGATCGTAGGAATCCATCTTACGCGAAAGACGAAGAATCGATAGGAACGTAATGAAAACTTGGCTGCACCGGTGGATTGGAAAAGTTCTTGAAAGCTCTCGCTCCGGAGGCTCGTTGGGTGTCACGGAGAAGACGTCGTTTAATGAGCAAACCTTTTTTCCATTGCCGAGTAAAAGACGCCTGAAAGGCTTCGTCGAATCCGCATTGAAATTGCCCGGATCCAGCTTTGAATTCGAATTACGTGCCATCGATCACTCGAAAATTGCGAGTCTCTTTTCTAGCTCGTTGTCGGGAACAAAATTAATCGAGCCGATGAAGAAAGGATTATTCTTCCAGTTCCAGCTTTCACATAAAAATGTTACATTTGTTTCCATTCGCATATGAATGAGAATTTAATTATTTACAAAATACATTACTGCGTTTCCCATAATCTTTTGACGACGTTATAGATGACATGGGAATTGTAATGGACCCTTAGAGTCCCAGAAGACAGACGAGTGCATCATTTGACAGGTCATAATCCTATAGTTCTTGACCTGAGCCGTAGTTTCAGCTAAAATATCGTACAGGGTGAAGGCCAGTCGTTTCAACCAACTGGTCAGACTTTTCCCTCGGCTACGAGGGTTCACATTCATTGTCTGTGGCACGCTACGTAGCAGTCGTCTGGAAACTTTTCCTTCCGAACACGCTCTAGCGTCGCGTGCGTTCTTATTGGATTTCCCCCTCATTATGACGTAACCCGTGATTCATTATGCATTCGGAGATCGATGTACCCGTGTACTCGTTGTGTCATCGCTGCAGTTTAATTTCCTTATGTAAAATCTTGTTATAACCATTGAAACAGTTTAACGATCAGCTTTTTGAATTGGTTTCATTTTATGGAAATTGTGCACAGAAGGAACTGATGTAAACCCTATCATTTGGAGCGTGAATTTTATGCAAAAGACAGACATAAAATAATTCATCATTTATTAAAACCTATGAAATATCAGATGCTGTGTGCTTTATCATAAAAACCAGCAGTGCAATCGAGAAGAAATAAAGACGACCTAACAAAGGGAATCCACTGACTGAATATTCGAACATAAAATTGGTTAATGGTGTACTTAACAAAATCCGGACGGTTTAAAAAGTGGCATCCTATAAATTTTAACTTCGTCGAGGAACACAGGTCTCTTATGAGAATCGCGTAACGCGATTTTAAAAGTGTACGTCACAGAGTGACGAGCGGTCGACGGAAAAAGTTACGCGAACACGCAAAGGGTTTCAGTGCTCGTTCCGACTGTTTCGCGTTCCTCGAAAATTCTCGGCGAAATTAAAATAACAAAATTGTAGTCACGTCCTCGAGTACTCACCGCGCTACAAAGAAGCCGGTTCTGCTTACTTTGAGAATTTTGAAAGGATAGACGTTTGCCAAGGAAAGGAATTGTACTGTCGTGCAAAGGAAGATTAGTTGAAAAAAATGTTTCATACAGCAGTTTAAGTGCACGATAAAAAGAGTCGAACTTGTTCCATTTAAGACGTCCCACGCAGTTCTCGCGTAGACCTTTCGCCTAGCGTCCGCGAGGTAGAAAAAAAGAGGACACAGGGAAATCGGTCTATCGGGTCTCTCGGCTGATAGGACAGAGACCGCAGAAAAAAATCCACGGGACGATGATAACGATAGAACCCAATAAATCTATTCCGAGCGTAACAATGGAAACAATTTCGAAGTCTAGGTGGATGTGGGTCAACCGCGGTCGACGCTGCTGTTCTGCTTCGAGCGCTCCGCTCCTTGAATAGAGATTAATAGCGCGAGCACGCGCGCGCACGAGAGGAACAGGAAGTCGTTCCAAGTTGCTGCCGATACACTTTGGCCCGGGCCACTTAGTACCTACCTGTACACGGGGTACACGCGTACTTCGCCAGCCTGCCTTTCTAAACCGGGCCGATGCGATGCCTCGGTCACAAAGGCTCTCGCCTATTCAAGCTGCGCTGCGTTACGAATTCACCAGCCCGGAATCTTCACAGTCGTGTACCTTCGAGAGAGCCAGGTCGATGTACTCGTGTGTACTTTGTAACGGGGGCCGAGCAGATTGTTTTTTTACGAGGGACAATGCGGAATAGAATACAAGAGATCGTATCAGATTCGGGCCAGGTGTGAATAGATGAAAATTGATCGAAAGAAATTGAAATTTAATTTATTTTTTATATCTAGCGATCCCCTCGGAACGTTAATTTATCTCTGATAATTTGATACTCTTTTCAAACTTTGCACTTTGTTCAACAGGTACATCATCACCTCGCTGTGCGACAGTTGCAAGAGCAGCGACGCGGTGGTGGCGGTGGTGTTCTGGGTGGGCTACTTCAACAGCGCGTTGAACCCGTTGATCTACGCGTACTTCAACCGGGACTTCAGGGCGGCGTTCAGGAAAACGTTGGAGAGCTGCTGCGTGGCGATAGCCCCGGTCCGCGATCTTCGCCAGACGCACAGGAAACAGGACCTCGTGCACAGCAACGCGTCCTCGGAGCTGCACGTGAACAATCAATTAAGGGCGAGCGAGATGACCAACGTGCACATCGAGGCGTGCATTTGAGGACCGACCGTCGGCTGTTAACTTCGTGCCATGGCTGTCTTGCCTTTTGATTGCCAATCAACCCACGACAGTTTTCGGTGCGCAATTAACGGTGATTTGGTCACGTGCACCGTTTTTCGTCGCCAATTAAGATAACAAGTTCTTTTTTTATTCCCACATGATTGCTCATAACATTTGAACGATACAAAGTCGTTAGTCCTTCTGTCATCGCTTTTAAAAACGTTTTTGTGATATGATCCTGACTATAGAACCGAGGCAAGCTTTCTTCACTTGTTTTAAGGAGTTTTTTTACAAGTCAGAGTATCGTGGACATGACTTAAATAAAATGTTCTGGGAAAACTAACATTGACATCATATATGTGAAAACTGTATTTTTTAATCGCTGTGGTATGACGTTATTAAACGAAGAAGTTTAACGTTCGAGGAAAGTTTCGTCCTGGAGGATCTTTAATACGGACAATCTATTTTAAAGCGCTTGCCTGCCAGCCGGCCAGACTCTGTCGTCTATTTCTAACCGCGTGGCGTTTTATCAAGTCCGTAAATAAGGCTGCTGCCCCCGAGCAGATGGACGATCTGATTTGAGTAATAATTTAAGATTGGCCTGATAACGTCGCCCACCCTGTTCCAGTTCCTCCCTTTTACACGCTGATTAAATTTTTTCAATTCCTTATGACGTCGCAATTGAAATTTGAATGACAATTAAGAGATAAATAAGATTCTGTCAGAATTCATGTGAACCTTCTGCAAAGAGTAACATTCACTGAAAACCCTGGAACAAAGAATCCAAGAAGAAACCAAAGTACAAACGTAGAAAAATGCATAGAGCATTTGATTAGCGCAAAGAAATGAGTTCTAGCAGCGACTGACGAGTTCCTGGTTTATTAAAGTCAGACGGGAAGAACGATGGAAGCTTGCATGTACGAGCAGATAGGAAAGTGAACGCCGCGCACGATTGTGGTCGAAACGTCGCGTCGGAGCATGAAAATTACCTGAAGCGTGAAAGTGGCCCGGGAACCGGAATGTTGACACGTGGAATTAAAGGATGAACGCCGAGTGCTGCGAAAGGAACGCGGATTACTTGGGGAGGCCTGTCTATTTGAACGGTGCTACTGAAAAAGCTGGCCCGATAAAAACAAGTCTTGCGAAAACCGCAAAAAGCTTCAGCGCGGGTTATTTTATTGCCCGTCACTTTCCACGAAAAGAAATTGTCAGATCTTTTACGGGAGAGCTTTAGAATTGCTTTTTCAAACGCAGTATGCATGGAATGGAATGTACAGGTTTCACTTAAATTTAAATTTAATAGTACTGGTTCCTGAAATTCCTGAGTGTCGCATCGAGTCATGTCGTTCCTCGAAACACTTGCGTTTACTCAGAACACTGGAACAGATACTATGCGAATGATTACACCGTCAATGGAACACTAATGCGCGGCGTGTAACACAGTCGAATTCGTACACGCCGTTCGCGTTTCAAAAGACACGGGATACGTTGCGTGACAATGCACAGTCGGATAACAGGATTGTTCGGACGGTATAACAAATTCGAATAAACCAGGTTTTAGAGGTTTCGCGTAAGCTATTTAAACGGTGGCTGTTTTATGGGACAGACAGCTGGCTCTATAGAAAATATACGGCCGCGTTGATGCGCGGGGCAATTAATTCTATCAACGAGCTCCGTTTGTCACTGGAATTAACATTTTATTTAATGAACTCGACCGGAATCCGTTCTCCACTTAAATTAACGCCCGTAACAGGTATTTATCTTTCTCAAATTGTTCGAAAAACGGTGCAAATGGAAAGTCCGCGAGCTCGCAATTTTACTCTGACAGGAAATAAATGATAAGAGAAATAATGATTAAACAGGGAAATAAATGATAAAATTCGAGTAATAAACGGGAGTGGAATAATCTGAAGGAATCGTCCGATAAGCTTTTTGTTACGTAATAAATCATCGAGATTTTCGAGATCGAGCGCCAGTTCATTAATAACAATTTCAAGTGCCACTGCGAAGAGAGTTCCCAACGATGTGAATCCTTGCATTTTTTTAAGGAGTATCACGAAACAGTGTCGGTTACCTGACGAAAATTTATACCGACGCAGAAAGACGAATGCACCTCGATACATTTTTCACGGAAGATCGCGACGATTTCGGATGCATTCGCCGAACCCATGCATCATGCGCGCTTCCCCGAAAAAAGCTACCGTGTACATAAGCTGCAGCGATTCCTCATGTCTTTCGCCCGGAAAAAATACAGCTGCCAGAGACTGGAACATCGCTTCCTATTGTTAAGAAGCTTATGAAATGGTCTCACATAAAAAGAGTTATAATATCATTCTGTTCCCTCGATATTTTCTTTTGAAAATCCAGTACCAATGTGTATTACACAACATTAGCAGATTACTTTAAAGCATCAATTACCCTAATTATGGTTTGCAACTTAGTCCCAACGAGGAACCGGGAGTTTATTAAAAATATCGTCCAGCCTTATCCTAGAAGCTCAGTATTGGTTCACATTTGCATAGGAGTTGCATTATAGACACGCTCAACGAAAACGTCAAAATATCTTAGCAACCCGGCGCAACGCATTAAGGAGATTACCACGACTCCCAATGGAATCGGCAGACGTTATTGGCGAATATATTCCATCGCACAAAATTGTAATTCGAGGACGAAATTAGAAAGCGAAACGAGCTCATGAAAAGGAATGAAACAGCTTGACATTCGCAGAATTATCCTGGAACGTTGAAGAACGTTACACGACGATTTAATACGTGAATACGTTCAAAAGGCAGTAATCCTCGTTTTTCTATTATTAGAAAGAAAGCCTCGAATACTTGAATGTAAATAGCTGCTACTTTTGGGAATTTGTTGATTTACGAGGTAGAAACTAGAAGAGCGACTTGGCCAATTCATCACGATCAGCCGCATTATGCACGTGGATGTTGGCCCTCGTTAAGTCGAACTGGCCAACTTTTCGCATGGATTCACGTTTCCGTTCTTCACGAATCGTTTGCCTGGATTCTCGAACGAGTAACGAGCCATCCAAGTTCTCGAATTATTATTCTCCCTGCATAATTTAATAAAAGCTCATCGTGTACCTCTTTTTTCTTCGAATTGGCACGTTTTGTTTTTTTTTTGTTCACCCGATGTTTTCCTTCCGACGCGGTAGTTGGACAGGTAAATGACGCGAGTATTTAATGTTCGAATTTTCGTTTCGCCGCGTTCGATGGAAACGCATTTATGAAATTAATGGAGTGCGACGCTTGCGTGCCAGGGTCCGGCGCGCTGCTCTGAACTTTGATATTTGGAGCGTGTATCTGTTGGTACCGTCCGCTCATTGTTTAATTAAACGACATTCAATGCTCGTTTTCATGCTAATGTTGGCTTACGTTAATATGATACTAGCTCATCATATAACAAGCCGTCTTCGTTACGAATCAAGGTTCATGTTCACGAGAACTCTGATTTACATTTATTTCGCTATGGTATAACGAAAGGAAAGCATGATCTATTTCGAAGGTTTTGGATCAAATGCATTAACGTCAAAGTAGAAATTTCATTTTATCTTGTTTTAATCCCGGTGTCGTTGCATTTGATCAAAGCCTTCCGTGTCTGTCGCGTACACACAAAATACCCCGAAGAGAAGCGTAACGAGAAGTGCTTTTCATCGTCAACTTCATATTTTTACAATATAAAACCGCTTGACGACGCAATCTCGTCTGCAGAACAATCATTAACCTGTAAGTCTTAGCGATCTTATCGTCGCGTTCCTCGAAACGAATTAAGAAATCGCGAAGCAACAGTTTAACTCGATGTTCGCGTTATCTATCGATTAGAAGTGTAAGGCGACTAGTGACCTAACGTGCAAAAATCAGTGTTGTCGTAAGTACCGGTGTTATCAGAACTCTTGTAAAAAAAAAAAAATAAAGGGACAGATGAATCGTCGTACAAACGATAAATGATACTTGTTCGAAAAATTCGAATCGGGAGAGACGAGAGAGAGTATAGTCACAGTGTAAGAAAGAACAGTAGGCTCATTTATGGTGTCGGCTCCTATGATCTCATTGCCAATAGATTCGACATGTTATTAGGTGTACGTGGATTCTAATGGGTTGGCAACTAAATGATTGAGAATTTTAAATAACGTGTCTATCGACAAATTCCGCAATTATTTAATTGTCAACCTAATAATTTAAATGATACAACCATGAGCGTATTACAAAATCGTAGAAATAACAGACTCAATTGCTATTGGTATGTAGCTATAGTTGTCAGATATAAAAAAAGTCCTATGCAACTTCCTTCCTACTCCAATCGTTAAGGAATAATTGGCAATGAACGAACTAATTAGTCCTAAATTATTCAAGATAGAAGAAAAGTGCACAAATTGTTAGTGCACTTATTCACAAAGTAAACCTACTGTTCTTTCTTATACTTTGGTATAGTATTCAAACGACAATAGCGGTCAAAAAAATTATTTTACTAGTTCAAAACTAAAGCCTAGGTCATCGTTAGCCGTAATCGTGTGAGTCAATGAGCGAATGATAGATATTTCATGAAAGTACGATTGCGAAAATAAAGATGAAACTGAATTCTGTTTCCTTGTAGCGACAGATGATGTTATATACGTATATTATATATATATATATTATATATATACACAAGAAAAATATGTATACAAGTATGGATAAATATATCAGATGATCGTTTGAAGAAAAAAAAAATGTGCCGAGCTACGCGCGTAGGGCATTAATAATAAAATTTCAGAAAGAGTTCACTGCGATTTTCTTTTATCCTCCGCTTTATCGCGAACGTAAACCATTACACTAATCATTTCTGTTTCAACCGTGGTCTGAGTTACGGTAAGTTGGGAATTGTTGCGTGCCGCGGTTAGAGAAATGCTATGCCGCTCGAATGGTCGAGCTGTACTACTTGCGGCTAGACTTCCTGCGCGCACCGTTCCCTTCCATTCATCCTCTCGCTTTTTAACTTGAAACTAAGCTCATTTGCAGAAACTGCATCAGTATACATTTCCAGCTGCACATTATTATTACAATTATTTCAATGGACATTGTATGAACAATCGTAGATGAAGCATTAGACGTCTACGCGTCACGTTACGCAGAGAAACGCAGTTTCACAAGTTCGGTAGCTACCATCTCGCATGAGAAACGACGAACGGGGTTTGTTGTTGTCATTTCGTCAAGGCAACAGTTGGCTTTAACGTCGAGCGCTAACTTGCTTTGTCGTTATCGCGAAATTTGCAGCTGCCAAGCAACTAGAGTGGACGAGAGAGGCCACTGCGTTTCGTTTGCAGACGGATCGTGCAGCTGCTGCGTAGATTTTAGTCAAACAGCTTGAGGATTGCCAATGGTAATTTCGAAAATTACCTCTGCTCCTCTGTGAATTTTCTAGTTACCCCGGGATCTCTTTTGATTGATGAATTTAATTTTATAAAGAGTCGTTCAAAGGAAGAAATAATTCAGATTTAATGATATAATTTTGATTGATTTCGTTCTACGATACGAGCAAACGTTCCTCTTTTAAGGGAACAATTTTCTAGGAAATCGCTGGCGGAAGAGGCCTGTCGGAGAGCTGTTTCGAACACCTTTGTTATGTCAATTTCGGGGCATCGGCCGTCGCAGTCGGCGCAACCCCTTTTCCGCCAGGCCACGAACCCTCTTCCTGAAATGTGGGTCATGCAGCTGGTGTACTGTTTCTCGTTGTCCATTACAAACGTTTATTAAAAAAGTGCATCCGTACGTCGCGGAGTTCGAGACCCCATTTCGTTCTTTTATAAAACTTCCTACTATGATCTCCGGTTCGATGTTTTCCACGAACATAAATAAATTGTTTTTGTTTAAAATAATCGCTCGGAGGATAGATTGATAAAAGGAAAAACGTCACGACTTGACGAAGCACGGCGAGAACTTCTTTCAGTTTAGCAAAAAGAAAAACTATTAGCAAATTGGACGCACGAACTTTGCTTCGTTGAAAGACAAGCATGGGAATTTCAATTCGCGTAATTTTCGAATCATCTTTCACATTTGGGATGATACATCGCTTGATGTAACAATTGGATCGTATACATAGTTTCAATTGTTACAGTCTGAACGATACTGTTATTTAAGCAGTTTTTAATAGTTTTTGGCTTACTCCGATATCGAAATTCGTTTTCGAGATATGAGCGTACGAAGATTGCCGTTTAAGCGGTCCCCGCGGGAATCGCGGCGCAGGCTCGTTCCGTTTTCCTTTCTAGAATGAAAGGGTTATTTTCCAGGAACCGTGTCTAGAGGTGTCTAGATTGGCTCGTGGGGGTAGAGCAGGTCAGTAACTGGGTCAAGGTGCGAGAGAGAGGATCGAGTCGTGCAAGAAGGATACCGACAGAAACGCTGAAAAATTTCGAAAAATGCTTCAAATAAAAGTTGTTTTTCTTCTAACTTCGATATTTAACGATTTACCTATGATTAATCGGCATTTTATGGGTACTGATAAAATCCGACCATTCCATCGTCGAATCAGCGAACAAAAAATTTCGTTTTTCTTCAATAACTCCTAAACTGTTAGACTTACGAGAAAATTGCATACAACCTTTTTTGTAGAGGACAATGAGATCTACAATTTCCATATAAAAATTTTTCGCTAGCATCAATATTTAACGAGTTATTGACGAAAAACGGAAAGACAGTTTTTTGCAAATTACTCGTAAACTATTGATGCTAGCGAGAAACTTTTACATGGAAATTATAGATCTCGTCGTCCTCTACAAGAANTCATTATACATATATAGCATTGTTTAAGTGTATAGCCTACACATCCTTAAATCTTTTCAGGTTTTCCTGGCTTCCTTCATTCTACAAGGAACATGCATATTTCGTAGGAAATATTCGCGGATTCATTGTTCTTTTCTCTTTTCACACATCCCTTTCATTCTCCAACTAATAAGTAACATTCCGTAGTTACCTCCCTGTAAATAATTAATTTGAACTTCTCGCATGAAATCCATCAAACCGGAGTCTCTACTGACCATAAATTTCGTTCGAACCTATCTGGGAATCAGAACCGTAGTTCCTAGCGATAAAGACCGCCTCGATCCTCCATTTGAATGAAGTTATCCGGCCGATAAACGTTCACAATCAATTTATTGGCTCGCCGGCTCGCCCGGGCCGGCAACGGGAATAAGTTATCGGATTCCACGGTTCCGAATGCGATGCACACGCGGCGAGACTCCGGGAATGTTAACGAATTTCGAGGGAATCGGGTCGAAAGGTGTCGCGGATCGATTTCGAAAGATCTCACGCAGCTCTCGGCACGGGGCGCGGGTTAACTGAATCTCTATCTTAGCTAGCGACTAGGTTAACGAGGTCGTAACCTACATTCCCGCGACCGATCCTTCAGTAAATTAATGCAATTATTGTAATGTCGCGTTCAGCTACGTTTTACAAACTCGAACGAGGAAGTCTGATTGAAGACAGAGCCCAGGAGATCGTCTGGCCGACTCACTGGTTAGCAGAGGGCAACGAGACTCCACGAGGAAACTTTCGATGAGTTTAGATGTGGAGCTTATTCAGCAAAACTGTCGATTATTTTTAAATAAATTAATGGGAGATCTGTGATTTCCAAAATATCGTGAGAATTGATATCTGTTCGATGTACGAAAGGTAAGAATAGACGGGAATTTCGCCAAGGGATTCGAACAGGTCTCATAGGTCAGTCGGGTCACGACCTAAATTGTATTTTGATGTTGGCACGGGAAGTTCGCGCGATTAATTCGTGTAAATGGGAATTGCGGGCTCGTACGATTTACGTTTAACGAATTACCACGAATTTTACGCCTTTTGCGATAAGCAGGAATTCATTGCTAAAATTCTGTGCCACGGTTCACTTGACGAAACGTATTCGTTCGAGCATGGAATTTCAATAATACGTCGATCCTTCTATATTTTACTGCTCGTTCTTTTGCCCGGATTGGTACAATTTGAAGACGTAACGGAACCCTGCATGGAAAAGGAGGAACTTCGTCGTAAAAGAGAAATTCCTTAATAATTTTCAAAAGCCCTTTAATAAAAGTACAATTCCACTTGATTCTCCTCTTACTGCCATTTCTTCTTCTTCTTCGTTTGACACAGTTTTCGGAATCCACTAGCTAGAAAAAAAGGAAAGGGAAGGATTACTGTAAACCTTTCCGACGCGAAACGTTTGAAGAATAAACGAAAATCCAGATATTTCTTTACACGCCAGGGTAAATAGGAGGAAATTCGTAGGGACACAAAGTGGATCTGCTTCTTACCGCGCAAGTCAATGGGGTCGCAACCTGGATTTGGTTGCCAAAGCCACGCTAAAATTGTGCACCCGGTGTATTTTTCCCCGTGCAATATTAAGCAACGATTCTCGGAGCGGATGAGCCTGTTCCGACGCGCGAATCTCGGCTGATGTGATATAAATCTGATTTGGTGACTGAACCAGCTCGTTTCTCAGAAGGCGTCTACGAGGAATTCTTAATAATTTGCAGACAGCAAAAGATTTCCAATCGAAGGTTCTTTAAAATAGTTGCATTATTGGAACTCTAAAAGTATTTCGAATTTTCATTTGCATTTGATTGACATTACAATTAATTGTATCGGATAAGTAATGAGTATTATATTCGAAACTGTGTTAAGGGAATTATTTGTTGAAGTTTTAATATTAAATTCTAATCTGTGATAACTGCATATCCGAAAGTTTAACACGAGATGTCGGTAAACTGCAGGAAGAAATAGGGGTAGGAATTTGCAACCACTAGGAGAAATGCTTTTACCAACTGTGGTACACTCAACCACCGAGGAGAGATTACTAACGAGTGGCAGCCTTATGAGACCTCGCGGCCCCAAAAACGGTCTGCAATTTTTAACGTCCTCTAAAATGAGCTGGGCCGAAAAGTAAGAAATAAGAAGCAAAAGTGACGTCGGTTCTAAACTGCATTACTGTGTCAAGCGCGTCAAGCGTGCAAGATGACCAATCCTAGGGGGTGGGTACTTAAAGTCAGTGGTCAATTGGTCATTCCCTCTGGAATGACCCAAAAAATCCTGCCCGATTATCGATAAATGCGGAAGTAAACGAATATGCAAATCAGGAGACGAGCCTTCTAAGAATCGGCCAATCATTTTGCGCAGACGTCATTTTGCCCAAACCGTCGATCCCCGAGAGGGTATAAGTACAGAGCCCCGACGCTCCTCGAGTCACTCGATCGGCCGGTCGAGACACCCCTTTTCCCATCCCATCCCAGTATGCGTGTGCGGTGTGCGGTATGAGTATGAGTGTGTGGGTACCGGTACTAGTGTGCAGTATGCCTTCCAAAATTCCACCCTATAACGGAGCGAATTTAACTTCATCCCTCTCTCTCTCTCTCTCTCTCTCGTTTCAGTTAATCCATTTTGCTCGCGTTTTAGTTTACCCGCGCCGCGAATAGTAGTTTACCAGTCAGACTTTGCTCGAGTACCAGAGGGAGAAAAGAGTTGTGGTCCTGTATCTCGGGTGGCCTGTCTCGTCAGTCGCTGGGGTGTTCCTGTTCCATTCCCAGGTGCAGTGCGTAAGCTCCGTGAGACGGATTGGTCGTGGTCAGGCCATTCCTGCGCTGAGGCATCGTCATTCGGGTGCAG